TATGCTGTACTTCCCATCCCTGTGACTATTTTATAACTATCAATTTTTACTTCTTAATACCTTCACATTTTTCACTTACCCCCCAACCTCTCTCCCATATGGCAATCACCAATTTGTTCTTTGTATTTGTTTATTTTGTTCCTTAGATTCCACATATAAGTGAAATCATGTCATATTTGTCTTTCTCTGTCTTATTTCACTTAGCATCCTACCCTCTAAGTCCATTCATGTTGTCACAAATGGTAGGATTTTATTTTTTTATGGCTGAATAATTTCCATTGTGTATATGTATTACAACTTCTTTATCTAATTGTCTACTGATAGGTACTTAGGTTGCTTCCTTATCTTGGCTATTATAAATAGTGCTTCAGTGAATGTAGGGGTGCACATATCTTTTACAAATTAGTGTTTTGGTTTTCTTTGGATAAATACCCAGAAACGAATTGCTGGGTCAAAAGGTAGTTCTAATTTTAATTTTTTGAGAAACCTTCAAACTTTTTATCATAGTTGCTGTACCAATTTGCAATCCCACCAACAGTGCATGAGGGTTCCTTTTTCTCCACATCCTTGCCAACACTTGTCCTTTGATTTAGTGATGATAGCCATTCTGACATGTGTGAAGTGATATCTCATTGTAGCTTTAATTTGTATTTCTCTGATGATTAGTGACGTTTAGCATCTTTTCATATGTCAATTGGCTATCTGAATGTCCTTTTTGGAGAAATGACTATTCATGTCCTTTGCCCCATTTTTAAATTGGATTATTTGTTTTTTTTTGTTTGTTTTTTTTTTTGGTTTTGACTTGTATGAGTTCTGTATAAATTTTAGGTGTTAATTTCTTATCAGCTGGATCATTGGCAAATATCTTCTTCCAATCAATAGGTTGTCTTTTCATTTTGTTGATGGTTTCCTTTGCTGTGCAAAAACTTTTTAGCTTAATGTAGTCCTACTTATTTATTTATTTGTTTGTTTGTTTGTTTGTTTCCTGTGCCTGAGGAGATGTATCAGAAAAAATATTACATAGTTTATTGACTATGTTTTCTTCCAGGAGTTTTATGGTTGTGGGTCTCACATTTAAGTCTTTAATCCATTTTGAGTTTTTTCTTGTATATAGTGTAAGAAGGTGGCCCAGTTTCTTTCTTTCTTTTTTTTTTTTTGCATATATCTGTACAGTTTTCTCAACACCATTTATTGAATAGACTGTCTTTTACCCCATCGTATATTTCTGTCTCCTTTGTCTTATTAAATGACCACATAGGCTTGAATGTATTTCTGGGCTCTCTGTTCCACTGATCTATGTGTCTTTTTTACATGTAAGTACCATGCTGTTTTGATTACTATAACCTTGAAGTATAGTTTGATATTAGGTAGTGTGATTCCTCCAACTTTGTTCTTTGGCTATAGCCAACTTTGCCATGGCTATTCGGGGTCTTTCATGGTTTCATATAAATTTTTGGGTTATTCTACTTCTGTGAAAAATACCGTTGGTATTTTGATAGGGATTGCATTGAATCTATAGATTGCTTTGGGTAGTATGGATATTTTAACGATATTAATTCTTTCTATCTATGAGCACAATATATACTTCTATTTATTTATATTTTCTTCGGTTTCTTTTTTCAGTGACTTATGATTTTCTGAGTCTAGGTCTTTGACATCTGAAGTTAAATTTATTCCCAGGTATTTTATTTTTTTTTTAATGCAATTGAAAATGGGATTGTTTCCTTCTCTTTCTGATAATTCATTATTGGTATAAAACTGCATCCAATTTTTGAATATAAATTTATATCCTGCCCCTTTACTGAATTCTTTGATCAGTTCTAACAGTTTTTTTGGTGGAGTCTTTAGGATTCTCTATATACAGTATCATGTCATCTGTAAATCATGACAGTTTGATTTCTTCTTTTCCAATTTTGATGTCTTTTATTTCTTTTTCTTGTCTACCTCCTGCGGCTAGGACTTCCACACTATATTGAATAATAGTGATGAAAGTGGGCATCCTTGTCTTGTTTCTGATCTTAAGGAAAATGCTTTTAGCTTTTCCCTGTTGAGTATGATGTTAGCTGTGGGTTTGTCATATATGGCCTTTATTATGTTGAGGTATAGTCCCTCTATTCTCACTTTGCTGAGAGTTTTTATCATAAATTGATGCTAGATATCGTCAAACGCTTTTTCTGCATCTATTGAAATGATCTTATGTAGGCCAGGGTCACCTGCTGCCTGTGACCAGCCCAGGGATCCCTAGTAGGAGCTATAGAGCTATCTATATTTGGTCACTGCCTGAGGTACACCTGGAGGTGTTTGTGAGAGGCCACGTAGCGAACTGAGGTTGACTGCCACAAGCACCAGGCCTGGGGGAAACTCAGCTAAGGCCCAGAGCACCCCCAGTCCCGAGGCTGCCTGTCTGCTCCCCATAATGCTCAGCAGCTGAATGAGCCTTGGGGGTGCCCCAAGGTCTCAGGGAGTCACCAGGGTGGGGCAAGTGGTGTTCCCCAGGTTGGTGCAGATTTAGATTTGTTGCCAGGGCTGAGCCTGTGGCCAGTTGCAAAAAATCTCAGCTCACACCGAGACTAGCCGCTGCCCACCTCAGACCCAAAGACCCCCAAGATTTGCTTAAGAAATATTGCGGCTAGGGCCAGGGCTGGTTACCCGTCACCTAGTGTCTTCTCAGGTGTGTAAGCAGAGAGGCCTGTTGATTGCTGTGATGGAACCTCCTGCTGAGATTGTGGTTTGGGGCTGGAATTGCCACCAGGTAATTTTCAAGTTGGGTGGGGCAGAGTCTCTGGGAGTCACTAAGATGGGGTGAGCAGATCTCACCAGGCCAATGCAGATTCAGTTTTGGCCATGTGTCGGGGAGTGTTCAACTCAGGTAAGATGGTACTGGTCTGCAGGCTAGGCAGGAAGAGTTCTCAAAAAGGCACAATGGCGATTGTCTCTCCAGCCCTGAAGCCACTCAACTCAGTCTTTCCCTGTATGTCTTTGACACTTCTTGAGCTGCTGTCCCTTCGCTAGAGCTCAGGGTGAGTGCTTGGGAGTGAGTCTGTGCGTAGGCCCTTTAAGGAGATGTCTGGCTTTACAGTTGCCTTCCATTTCACCTGGCTGCCTAGAACTCCCACTGGTTATCACAGCCAGATTTTGCGTGGACTCATCTCCCTGCATCTGGATCTCTGGGCTGGAGCACCCTGGTGTGGAGCTAGGGTCCCTCACTCCTGGGGTGGGCCTCCACAGCGTACATATCCATACCAATGCTCAGCCACCACGCATGGGTGTGAGATCAGCCTGTTTCATATCTCTTCTCCTCCCACCAGTCTCGTTATACCCCTAGTTATAGGAATTTTGTTCAGCTAGTCTTCAAATTGTTCTCCAGTTTGACTGTTTCATAATTTAGTTGCAGTTTTAATGCAGTCATGGGAGGGGGCATGCACGGCATTTATCTACCCCACCATCTTTACCGGAATTCCATAATTTTCTTGTTATACTTTTGTATGGTTTTGGTGTTTGAGAAATGCTGGCATTAGGAGATAGAAAATATTTCTTTCTCTTTTATTCCCTAGAAAAGATTATGTAGAATTGGTATTGCTTGTTCCTTAAATATTTGGTAGAATTTACCAATGATGCCATCAAGAACTGAGATTTTTTAATTTATGAATTATTTTTAAAATAGATATAGGATTTGTCAGGCTATCTATTTCTTTGCCTTTGTGCTGGGGATGACAATTTATTTCTCTTCCCTGTGGTTTATAGCTTTTGATGATAATGATGATGATTATGAGAGATAGTCTGGGGAATTGTGCCTGTGCCCCAGGAACCACTAGCCATCTCTTTTACATTGGCACATGTGCACCCCTCCATGACAAAGGATTATTTTTTTTTACGGCCTTTGCCCAGTCTTACTCATGAGTGACCAGTGGAGGTCTATGAGAAAGTACTTGTGAGTGAGTGTGAACTTCCCTTGAGTCTGGGCCCCTAGCTATTTCAAATTGTCTTGTTAGCCCACATTTGGCCTTTTACAGTTTGTTAGTTTAAACTGATTTCCTCTTAACCTGCCTGGATGGTGGCTACTTCTTTCTCCTGTGCTCTGCCAAATGTGAAGCAGTATATCCTTGTTACTCTTTGGAGGGGCTTTCCTTTCTATGGAGTTCAGATTATGTTTCCCTTATATCCTCAACTCTGTATTGGCTCAAGAAAAGTTATGATTTTGTGGATTATTTAACTTTTGGTCACTTTTAAAATGGGAGTAACATTATTAACAGTTTAGTAAATCCTAAGCAGAATTAATTGTAGTTTTAAAATATTTTCACTTTTCACTATAAAAACAATGAACATGAAAGTTTTATCATTTTTTTTTTTAACTAGAGTAAGTAATACCCTTTGCTAGGTATTTTTTTTCTTGTTCTTTAATTTTATTTTTAAAATAAAACAGCCTTACTTTTATTTTCACAGCCTTATTTAGTAGGCTCCTAATATTTCAGTGTTTTAAGAGCCAGCTATTGTTTATTCTGTTGAACAGATTTAAACAATTAGTGAGAGCACTCATCCAATGTATTCCCCTCTGTCTGGATTCTTAAGATCATTCCAGTTGAGATTCTGTCTCAGTGATTTGAATTTCAGAGGTTTTAGCTTCACTGTGTAAGTCAACTTCATTTTGAAGTAAACTGTTGAAAATAATGTTATAAATATTTTAGGGTGTATGATTGAAAACATATTGCAAATGTTAGGTAAATATAATATAATTATAATCAAGGAAATATTTCCATAAGTATATGTCATATTAACTGGTTCTTAAATTAATGTATATTAGAAGGTTGAATTGGTTACACCAGTTTTATGATGTGCTGTACTATGTAAGATGTTATTCCATTATCAGAAAATTAAATTTGTATTCTTTTATTCTCACCCTGTGGAATTTTTTTGATATAAAATTATATCTACAGATTGTGGTAGCTATTTTTTTTGAGATCATCAGGAAACCAATTTTTTCTCATTTGTTTTCTTTGCAGAAAACTTCATCAGCAGTTCGAAATGTATAAAGAGCAGGTAAAGAAGATGGGAGAAGAATCACAGCAGCAGCAGGAACAGAAGGGTGATGCCCCAACCTGTGGTATTTGCCACAAAACAAAGTTTGCTGATGGATGTGGCCATAACTGTTCATATTGCCAAACAAAGTTTTGTGCTCGTTGTGGAGGTCGAGTGTCATTACGCTCAAACAAGGTACAGAAATGAAAATTACACATAATCTTTTATAGCTAAGCTTATTGTGATTAAAATGCAGAAGACAACAAATTAATATTTAGATTAAACAATAAACAAAAACCTTCTTTAGTGGCTTCATTTTAGATAAGAGAAATTTAAATTTTTTCTGTGAGTTAAAGATATTTGTCTCATTATTTATATCCTTAAACTTATGATTTTGTTTAGAATTGGAATCTTCGACTCTCAAAGATTATGAAGAAAATATAGAGATCAGTTGGTCTAATTCCTTTATTTTATAAGTATAGAAAACTCAGATCCAGAGAGACTAAAGTTCATTCTTAAAGTCACACTACTGATTAATATCAGTCATGGCACAATTTTTTCCATTTCTATACATAATTTTATAAACTTTAGATATGCTTCGCTTTTGGCTCATTTCTTTTACTTATGAAGGAGTTTCTTTTCAGCTTTGAGATCATGTGTTTTATAATTTTATAGCCTTTAAAGCTACATTACCTTTTATTTTGTCATAACATTAATGAAATAAACATTAGTCTATGGAATTTAAAGGAGACATTTTAAGGAGGTGTTTCACACTAATACTAGATTTTTGTAGTTTATCTATCCACTTTAGAAAAATGTTAATGCTACCCAAAGAATGCTGTGTTGAAATTAGCAAAAGCAATTTTTAAAAATGTTTGTCTGAATAAGTTCTTTAGAATTTTCATTTCTCTCCTCACTAATGTGCCTTATCAATCAGTTTTTTTTACTTGGAAGCTGATATCTTTACATACATTACTTAGACATAATAGTGGGAATTTGTTCTCCTATGTGATTTCATTTCTCCATTTTCTCATTGCTCCTTTTTTCTCACTGTTTTGTTTATCTCTATTAATTTTTTCCCCAGTTTACCTGATTATGATTCTTTCTCTCGACTAATTGCATTGGCTAGAAACCAGTACAATTCTGAATAGAAGTGGTGAGAGCAGACATCCTTGTCTAGTTCTTTATTTTAGGGAGAAAGCATTTAGTCTTTCACTATTAAGAATTATGTTAGCTCTCAGCTTTTCATAGATACTGTCTTTGAGAGTTTTTTTTCCCCCCCCATAGGAATAAGTATTGGATTATGACAAGTATTTTTTCTCTATCTATTGAGATTAGGCATGTGTTTTTCTTGTCTTCTCTTTGGTAATATGGTGAACTATACTGATTGATTTTGAAATGTTAAACAAACTGTATTTTTGGAATAAATGCCATTTGGTTGTGATGGATTATTCCTTTTTTATATTGATGGGTTTGATTTGATAAAATTTTGTTTACAATTTTTGCTTCTATGTTTGTAAGGGTTAGTATCTGTAGTTTTTCTGTAACGTCTTTCTTTAATTTTAATATCAGAGTAATGCTGGCCTAATAGAATGAGTTGGGAAGTATTTCCTTTGCTTAAATGTTTAGAAGAGTTTATGTAGAATCAGTATTATTTATCCTTTAATGTTTGGTAGATTTTACTTGTGAAGCTATCTAGGCATGCAGTTTTATTTTTTGGGAAAGTTTTTAAGTAGAGCTTCAATTTCTTTAACAGATATGAGATTATTCAGGTTATCTATTTTTTCTTGAATGAGCTTTCATAATTTGTCTTTCAAGGAATTTGCCCAGTTCCTCATAAGTTGTTGAATTTATTGGCATAAACTTGTTGACAGTATTCCATTATTATTCTTTTAATATCTATACAATCTGTAGTGTTGCCAGTTTTTTCATTCCTGATGTTGGTAATTTGTGGTTCCTCTCCTAGTCTGATTAGATATTTATAAATTTTATTTATTTATCGAATAACCAGCTTTTGGTTTTATTGATTTCCTCTATTGTTGATTTTGCCTTCGATCTTTATTATTTCTTTTCTTCTGCTTACATTGGGTTTAATTTTTTCATCTTTTTCTGGTTTCTTAAGGTGGAAGCTGAGGTCATTGCTTTGAGACTTCATTTCTAACACAGAAGCATATGCTGTAAATTTCCTCTAAAAACATGCTTCAGTGGCATTCCCCAAATTCTGCTATGTTGTCTTTTAATTTTCATTCAGTTAAAAATATTTTCTAACTTTCTTTTTCTTGTTTGACCCATGGATGATTAATAAGTATATTATTTATTTTCCAAATATTGTGGGGTTTCTAAAGATCTTTTTGTTAATAATTTTTAATTTATTTCGGTTGTAGTCCCAGAATATACTTTGTATACTTTAAATCCTTTGAAATGTATTGATACTTATTTTATGGGCCAGATGTGATTTATTTTGGTAAATGTTCTGTTTACACATGAAAAGAATGTATGTTCTGCTATTTTTGGACATAATTTTAAAAAATTTCCATCTTTTTTTGGACATAAGTTTTTAAAATTTCCATCTCTTTTTGGACATAATTTTTAAAAATTTCCATTCGGTCAAGTTGGTTAATAGAGTTGTTCAAGTTACTATCACCCTGTTGATTTTCTTCCTTTTTATTCTATCAATTATTAAGAGAAGTATATTGAATTATACAACTATACTTGGATTTGTCTGTTTCCCCTTGAGGTTCTATAAGTTTATATTTAATATGATTTTAAGCTCTATTTTTAGGTGCTTAAACGTTTAGCATTATTATGTCCTCTTAATTAATTGACCTCTTTATCATTATTAAGTGATTTTCTTTATTCCTGGTAATATTCTTTGCTCTGAAATTCACTTTGTCCGATGTGAATATGGCCACTCGAACTTTCTATTGAGCAGTACTAATGTGGTTTATATTTTTCTATTCTTTTACTTTAAGTTTATTTATACCTTCATGTTAAAGTATTTTTCTTATAGGTAGTATATAATTGGATCTTGCTTTGTTATCTAGTCTGACAATCTCTGTGTTTTAATTAGAATGTTTAGACAGTTTACATTTAATGTGATTATTGACATGATTAGATTTTATTATAACATTTTGCTTTTTTTCCTACTTGTACCCTCTGATTTTTGTTTCTATCTTTCTATTTCAGTCTTCTTTTGGATTAACCAAGTATTTTTATCTCCTTTGTTGGATCATTAGCTGTAATTTTTTTTTTTTTTTTTTAAGCCTACAGCCCCTGGTATTCCTAGGTGGTCTTCCATCCAAGTACTAACCAGACCCGACCCTGCTTAGCTTCCGAGATCAGACGAGATCGGGCGTGTTGAGAGCTATAACTATTTATTTTGATATTTTATTGCCTGCTTTAGGATTTGTAGTATACATCTTTAAATCATCATATTCAACCTTAACTGATATTGTACCATTTCATATATAGTATAAGAAAATTACAATAGTGTAATTCCATTTCTCCCATTTTGGACTTTGTGGTATTGGTTTCGTATATTTTCTTTTTGCCTATTTTGTAAACCTCACAATACGTGGTTTTTCCTTTAGTTTAAATTTTTTATCTTTTAGATAGTTTGAGATAAGAGAAATAGTAGTTATTTACTTTTATCATTACCATTTCTTGTGCTAGTCATTTACTTTTGTGGATCTGTATTTCTATCTGGTATCATATTTTATCTACCTAGATTTCCTTCAGTATTTTTTGTAGTGGCAATCTTCTGGGTTGAATGCCTTCAACTTTTTATGCTGAAATTTTTGCCTTTTTAAGAAAAATATATTTTTGCTGGGTATAGAATTATAGGTTGACAATTATTTTCTTTCAGTATTTTAAAGATGTTGCTTCATGCCTCTCCCTTTCACTGTTTTCCATGAGAAGTATGATATCATTCTCATCTTTGTTTCCCTGTATATAATGTGTATTTTTTCTCTGGCTCCTTTTAAGAATATTTTTTTATCACTAGTTATATGTGCAATTTAATTATGATATTTCTTGGTATATATTTCTTCATGTTTCTTGTGTTTGGAGTTTTTTGAGCTTTTTGGATCTATGAATTTATAGTTTTGGAAAATGTTGGCCATTATTTCCTCATAGGTTTTGCTGGCCCATGCTCTCTCTACTCTCTTTCAGGGACTTCTGTTACTCATATATTAGGCCGTTTGAAGTTGTCTTATAGCTCACCTCTGTTCTTTTTAATAAACTAATTTTATTTTGTGTTTTATTTTTATATTTTCTATTTTATGTCTTCAAGTTTATTAATCTTTTCTTCTGCAGTGTCAGATCTGCCATTAATATCATTTGATGTATTTCTTCTTCTTCTTATTATTATTATTTATGCCTACAGCACCTGGTCTTCTTAGGTGGTCTTCCATCCAAGTACTACGCAGGCCCGACCCTGCTTAGCTTCCGAGATCAGACATGGGGCTTGTTCAGGGTGGCATGGCTGTAGATCACGGACCATGGCTCCACTGAGGTGCGAACCCAGGACCTTCTGCATGTAAAGCAGACGTGTTAACTGCTACACTATGGAACCATGTCCTGATGTATTTTTTTATTTTTATTTTAGACATTATAGCTTTCATGTGTTAGAATTTTAATTTTGGACATTTTTATATCTTTCACAATCTAGTTAACTTTTTGAACATATAGAATATACACTCTATAACTGTTTTGATGACCTTCTCTGCTAATTCTAACATCTTTTGTCAGTTTGGGGTTGGTTTTGATTGATAATTCTTACATGGTATGTGTTTTCCCGACTCTGCACACTTGATATTTTATGTTGAATGCCATAATACATTTCTTCGTTGGATGCTGAACATTTTTGCATTCTATAACTCTAATTTTGTGCTAGGATGCAGTTTTGTGGAAATAATCTGACACTCTGGCATCTTGCTTTTGTGATTTGTTAGATGAATATGGAGCAGTGCTCAGTTTGGCATTAATTATTCTCTTCTATTAAGGCAAGGCCCTCCTGAGTATTTAACCAATACCTCATGAATTATGAGGTTTTTAGTCTTGCATGCGGGAATATCAACTATTCTCCCTAATCCTGTTAGATGATTTCTTTCCTACTGTTGGGTATTTTCTCACATATATGCTCAATGACCATTATTTAGCTGAATACTTGAAAGGCCCTTCTACAGATCTCTGGT